CCCTGCTTGGCGGGAAGCCTGCTTCTCCCTCTCCCACTCCCCCTGCTTGTGTTCCTGCTCTCGCTGTGTCTCTCTCTGTCAAATAAATAAATAAAATATTTTAAAAAAAAGAGCTAAACAGTCTTTAATTATTTGGACAGTTCTAATTTACTAACCTTCCATATTTACCCTGCATTCTCCCAGAGCTGACTAAAATAAATTTTTTTCATTTCATCCCATTGTGGTATTCCTCTATATGACAGGACTTCAAACCAAGTAAAATTTTTTTATTTAGTGTCTCTCAACATTGCTGTTTTAGTTAGACAAAAATATTTCCCTGACATAACGTTAAGGTTTAAGGTTTTATTGATGTTAAGTGTATGGTTTTATTTAGATGAAGTCAAAAAGTTCTCAGTGCCTGCAAAAGTCTTTATAATGCATTAAAAAATAATTTGGTCCACATCTTGTTTATTATACCCAGTACTTCTTGTTTTATGTATAGCAAAATCAGCATATTCTTTGCTACATAGTTTTTCTGTACCTGAGAGCAAGGATAAGGTAGGAAATCAGTGGGATTAAGTTGAAATGATTCATCATGTGAGGATGCTCCCTGAAGTTGAAGTTATAAATGTTACATTAGATTAAAAGGCTAGCCCTCCCGTTGATAAATATGCTAATTCACCTTAAGCATTTCTACTTTTTAAAAGTGATTTAATGTTTAGTTTTATAGACTTTCTTTTTTTTTTTTTTTTAAAGATTTTATTTATTTACTTAACAGAGAGAGACACAGTGAGAGAGGGAACACAAGCAGGGGGAGTGGGAGAGAAAGAAGCAGGCTTCCTGCAGAGCAGGGAGCCCGATGCGGGGCTCAATCCCAGGACCCTGGGACCATGACCTGAGCCAAAGGCAGACGCTTAACGACTGAGCCACCCAGGCGCCCCAGTTTTATAGACTTTCTATCAGTAGACTGCAATAATTTTTAAAATTAAACCACATTTAATAACTGGTAAAACTAAATGTGTTTTCAGGGGAAAAAAAATTAATAAGTAACAAGACTATTTCCAGAGTCCTGTAGGTGAAACAAGTAGTGAATGTTCTTTGTAACAACTATTTTCCTTCTTTTCTTTTTGTTTTACTCATTAATGTTCTTCCATCTTTTAAATGACAGTATCCCTCTGAAGAAGATATGATTGAATGGGCCAAGAGGGAAAGTGAGAGAGAGGAAGACCAGAGGCTTGCCCGACTAAATCAGCAAGAGCAGGAAGACTTAGAACTGGCTATTGCACTGAGCAAATCTGAGATATCAGAAGCATGAAGAATTCTCCTGTTCTTTGTCAACCATACAATATTCTTCTTCCTGAATACTGAAGCTCTTTACAGTGTGTATCAAAACTACCTATGAGCATGGGAATACAAAAGGTTTGAGATTCCTATAAATGTGACAAAAGTTTGTTTTTGTTTCTAACTCCATTTCAGATTTGTCTTCCTGCCCCCCCCCGCCCCCATCAAAGCAGTAACCCAGTCAGACAACATCACCTATGCTCCTGTTCTGATGTGTATTTACTGTGAGCTTCTGCCTGCCTGTGCTCCTTTTACTTGTAAATCTAGAGTACCCAAGCTTCTGCCTTCTGGAATATAGAGAAATAGTTTCATCCCTGTGCTACCCTTGTTCTGTAGTTACTCTGATGATAGCCAGTGGGTTTCTTAAAGTTTGCAGTATTCTTTGATTTGAATGGTTGAGGGAGGGGAAGGGAAAGAACATCCTATTTCTTTGATGATAGTGCAAATTGGCTAGTTTAAAGCATATGTTTGTATTTCCTTATAATTAAAATACTGTTCAGTTTGTTTTTATAGGAAAAATACTTTGCATAAATTGACTCCACTATTGAAAAAGGGATGCTTTAAGGTTGAACCATTATAGCTTCAGACTCAATCTTTTCCTAAATAAAAATGTTAAAGCCTCATATGTGAAATATATTTTTAAAAAATTTTCTCTGGATTTAAAGAATTTTAGATGAACAGATACCTCTCCATAATTTTAAGTGCTAGACAGTGGAGAAAATCTATCACTTAACATATACCCACCAGTGTAAGGTAAGCAAAAATCTAACATAGCAGTTGTTCTGCCATTGCTCTGGCACTGTCCCCTTTAGTTCATGGTAGGTTTATTTTTGTACTTTGCAGAAGAAACTTCAGCATGTGAGAACTGGAAGGTACTTTAAACTTTTTTATATATATATTTTGTTTTCTTTAATGAAGGCTCACTTACTTGAAATGTAAAAACTTTCACCGAATACAAATGGGAAAAGTGATGTGTATTAAATCATATTATTGCTTTTTGTCCATCTTTGTATTTTAATCTCTTCCTGGTTTTTACCTATAAAATTGGCGGGCTAGCAAAAAAATCCTGTTTTTTTTTAATTGAGAGAGAAGAGACCTGTCAAATTGTCAAAGCTCTTCATGTATTAAAAGTCTATCTCCTGTAAAACTGACCTAGCAGGCAAGCTGAATTTGAAATAGACTGTGATGTAGGCTGTAAACTGTGGAATAACCTTAGTTTTCTTTTAACATCAGTTACTGACTTAGGTAATGTATTAAATACCAAGATAAAGAAAAATGCACCTACAAAATAATTAAAAGTCTCTGTGGTCACCAAGTCAAGGTGGTATTGATCTGTGTTAATCAGAGTAACTTATTGCCTAGTCTATGAATAAATTCCAAAATATCCAATTCATTTCATCTTGAAATGGTGCTTTTTTTTCCTCTCCACACACAGCTGGACTGCTGCAGTTTAAAGCAAACTTACACCACTTTCTTGCACGCTAACTTTTTTCTACTTTTATAAATTGAAACATTTCAGCATAAAAGTCCTACATATGAAGCAAGGGCTGAATCATCGTAAGGCTTTAATTTTGATAAACTAATCCAGTGGCCTATGGATATACCGCTAAAAGTTGATTGAGAAGGTAGTGTTGGGAGCTGTGATAGGTAGTCGTTTTGGGGTTTTTTTCCCCTTCCCCTTATACTTCAGGATAAAGGTAAGTTGACTTGAATAACCTTCTTTTGCACTGGGAAAATGAACAGATGTTTGAAATGCTTTTAAAATATTTTTTTTAATTAAAAAACCACTCTGGAAAGTATTAAATATCTGTAACTTATAAACACCAATCTTCAATGTAATAAGTATACCCTAATCTTCTGTATGTTTAACTGGATTACACAGACTCTTATCTTTTGTTAAAATATGTATACTCAGTGGACCAATATAATATTAAAGTATGTATATATTATATAAATATATATATCGCTCTTTCTCTCCATGCTCACTTGTGGAGGATGAATGTTTTAGAGTCATTTGTGATTACATTTTACGTCGTTGACTCTGGCTGCAGAGCCTGTGCTTTCAAAGGACAGACAAGTATTCCTGAGAGCTCAGTGGCACTACTTACAAAGTTTTAACCACCTTCTACATACTTGTTAAAGTTTAGTTGGGCTCTCTTTAAAGAATTTTCTCTTCTGTTTCAAACTTCTAAATTGTAGCCTGTAATTATGAGAACAATAAACTTTAACAATAAAGCATACTATCCATACATTCTATTTGAAATGGAGTTTTGCAGTTCTCTGTTATGTCCATGCTGTGTCCAAGGAGGGGTAGGTATACAATCAGCACAGATTAATATGTGTAAAGTGCTTGAGGCAGTGCCTGGTGTAGAATAAATACTCAATAAATGCTATTATTTTTAGTTATTGTCCTGCTTCTGTGAAAGAAAGATGGAAAATGTATATGCATAGAGACAGAGCCTGAAACACAGATGGTTTGTATATATTTGTTGAGTGAGGATTTGTGACATGGATCTTAGGAGGGCACCATGGTATAAAAAATTATTTACAGTCCTGGGATAGAATCCCTAGTCTACCATTTTTGAGAAAGATGACTTTGAGAAACTTATCTAACCTCCCTGAGCCTCATTTCCGTCATCTAATGAATATCATACTTAACTCATGGGATCATTCTGAAGGATTTGACTTTGGCAGCTTTTTAATATTACATATTTTAATCAAACAAAGTCTGCCATGTTATTATTAGTAGTGAAAATAGCTATTGTTTTCCTTGTGGCAGCAGTGCAAAAGTTGAGTATGGCAGGACAGGCATTTAGAAAGTTTCTTTCCCTCTTTGACCAAGTTTTAGTTGAAAGGAGTGCAGCTGAAATTGTAACCAAAGGAGAGGCATCATGCTTCCAGAAAAATCTCAAGGAAAAATCCTGCAAGCGACAGTAGTAGCTGTTGGATCAGGCTCTAAAGGAAAGGTGGAGAGATTCAACCAGTTAGTGTGAAAGCTGGAGATAAAGTTCTTCTCCCAGAATAGAGGCACCAGAGCAATTCTACATGACAAGGATTATCTCTTATTTAGAGATGGTAACATTCTCAGAAAGTATGTAGACTAAAACAAGTCATTGTTGAAATGATTTTCATGTGAAGGAAGCTGCCCATTCCACTGAAGTAAGGTCTGAAATCTTTCCATGTAAATAATTTCCATTTCTCTTTTATAATAAACTAATGATATCTCAAAAAAAAAAAAAGAAAAAAGCTGTTGGTTATTGGATACATGTTGTGTGTGAAGCACTAAACTAAGCACTTTATGTGTGTTTTCTTGTTTGATCTTTACAACAGACCTAAGTAGTACTATTAATAGCCTCTATTTTGAAATGGGTAAACTGAGGCTCAAAAAATTAATGTGCTTCGGATCTTAGGGCTAAGAAGTAGACGCACCAGGAATTGAACTCTGGTCTCTCTGATTCTAAAACATGATACTCTTTCCAGTTTACCATGCTTTGTCTCATTTTGTGTGAAAAAGTTTGCTCCTAGGAAATGCTAGGAATAGGACATGATAAATAATAACAACAAATAACATGTTAAGCACCAGGCAGGATCCCTAGTGCTTTACATACATTAGCTCATTTAATCCTCAACAGCAGTAACTCTAATGTGTATGTGTGTGTGTGTGTGTGTGTGTGTTTAATAACAATAACCATCATTGTCTCCATTTTACAGAAGAGGTGCCCTAAGCCATTATTATGCAGCTAGTAAGTGGCAGAGCTAGCCACTTTTGAATTCAGGGAGCTGACTCCAGAGTTTTAAACACTACTTGCTATTTCTGTTAAAGGGGTGAAGCCAGAGGAGAAATATCATAAAAAGAATAATCCATGTGATCTCTGCTCTTGATTGATGAAATAGACCTACTACATAGCACATGACATCTTATAAAACATTTTCTATTTCATTCTATGTAATCCTTAAAAGGATTTAATATAGTTTCTGACATACGAAAGCATTCAACCATTGTTAGTTATTAGTATTACCATAAGTGATAAATAAGTACATAGGGGAGATGGCCAACATTGCTTTTCTTAAAGAAATACAAATCTTTAAATCACAAAGGTTGCAAAAATGAAAATTGGTCAGTGCTAGTAGAACTCTGGAAAGTACATAAAAAGGTAGGCAAAGAGTAGTTTTTGAAAAGTTTGCTGCACAACTGAAGGGACAGGGCGTTCTGGGCAGAGGCCAGGGCTGTGTGTAGAAGACAGGGTAGGACACGGTGTAGTGTACTAGCTAGCAGCAAGTACTGAAGTAATTCGCTGTGACTAGAGTTTAGGTCTGGGCAAAAGAGTGAAGTATTTGTGTTTGTGTGTAAGAAAGATCTTAATGGTGGTGATTTGGAGGATTGCTTTAGGAGGAAACCAGGCAAGGCCGGAAGAGCAGGTGAAGGCTGCTGGAGTCATTCAAGTGAGATGGTAAGGAGCTAAAAATGTGGCTGTGGCTGAGGCCTGAGAGATGGGGACCAATTTAGGAGAATTAGCAGACCTTCAAGTCTGATTAGACGTAGACGTTCAGCGGAAAGGCGTGGTTCACAAACTTTAGTGAGCATCAGGATCACCTGGAGGGCTTGTTAAAATACAGATTGCGACCCCATCCCCAGAGTTTCTGATTTCAGTAGGTCTAGAGTGGGACCCAAGAATTTGAAATTCTAACAAGTTCCCAGATGATGCTAAAGTTGCTGGCCCCGGGGAACCTAACTCTGAGAACCACTGGAGTAGAGGCTGACTTCCAAGTCTCTGTTCTGCAAGTTTATTAAATCTACTCATTTAGTTTGCCATGCTGTTGCACATGGTCATTCTATACTTGACCTCTGGATTCAGTTTCATAATGTAAAGCACTTCCAATCTTTCTTGTGGTAGAGTTATTTAAAAATAATAATTGGAAGCTAATAACACTATGTGCCAGTACTATGTGAAGGACTTATATATAATGATTCATTTTACTCTCCATAACAATCCTTTAAGTTAGGTGCTATTATTTCCAGTTTAAAGATGAGGTGCAAAAAGGTTAAATAACTTGCCCAAGATCCAGAACTAAAAAGTACCCAAGGTAGGATTCAGTACCTAGGAGTCTGACTCCAGAATCCATGCTCAATCACTCTTCTGTACTGAAAAAACTTACTTTAAGATACTTTTGATGCATAGATCCATAGTGTACCTCTTACTGGCTAAAATCCCCATAAGCCTGAGTGTTGGAAATGTACAGTGAGAAAATCATTGTCATTCCATTCATCTTTTGCTAAGGTTTATTGTGTTCTAGGTACTGTGCCGGTTTAGGGACAGAGAAGACTTTCATGAGGCTCTTGGATTAGTGGTGATACAGTAGGAGGGATAAACACCTACTCAACTAATTCCACAACATTGCATACTGAGGATTAAGATAGGAATGCTGGGATACCCAGAGGAATTGGGGAAGGCTTCCCAGAAGAGGTGCCGCCAGGACACAGTATTGTACTTCTAGCATTAGTAAAAAACATGGATGGTGACTCAGAATTTTTTATAAGCATAGGTCTCACAAGGCCACCCTGGGAAAGGCTGACAGTCTCTTAGGAGGCCTCATGTGAGTAGCATTTATTACTTAGTGGATTCACCCTGGCCCAGGTCTGCCCTTCAAGTTCAGAAACCTGACTTTCATCAGTAAAACAGAGACAGAGCTTCCATTACTGACGGGACTGATGTAGAGACCAGAACATCAGTTTCCAGCAAAAGTTGCCACAGGGTTTAGAGCACCCACAACTGGCTGAACAAGACTCCTCCCTTGCCAGTGGTGTCTGGATGCCGCCTGCCTCTGAAACTCCTCTCTCTCCGCAGCCAGGGCTGCCTGGCCCTCTGATGAACATGTTTTTCCGATTGCTATGTTTAATCAGGTTACAGTCTGGTTTGGCTGGTTGGGTAGCGATAGCTAGTGTCTCTTTGGGGTGACTTTACATATCTTTGCTTTCATCCATTGTGGACTTTATAGTTTAACTCTTCCTGAGGCTGACTTGCCCAATTTGAGTTCTTAGTGAAGTATCTCAGCCCCCCGGCTTTGATTCCACCCTTTCATTGACCATACTATTTATTGAGTGTATATATACCAGGCCTTCTTCCTGACCCATCCTCCTCCAAACCATCAACATGTCCTAACAATCTGCCTTTTAAATATCTCTCAAATCTATCCTCTTCTTCTCCAGTGCCACCGCCCCAGTTCAGGTCTTCATCATCTCTCTTGTAGACTTTGCCAAAGCCTCCTAATCTTCTTGCCATGGGTCTCTGTTTTTCTGTCTGCTTCCAAACCATCCTCCATGTCACAGATTCATCTAGAATCAAAATCTGCCCCTAACACTCCTACAATACAACATGACACTGATTCCCATCACACTCAGGTTAAAATTCTAAACCCTTAAAAGGCTTTTCCTTCATAACCTTAATTTCTGATTGGTACTTAATCAGTAATGGCTTAAACATGTAAGCTGTTTTTCCCCCCCTTAAATCTTAAGAAAATGCTAATTGAAGGAAATAAAGGTACCTCTGATCTGATTATGGAGTAATGGAATCCTTTTGAGATGTGCTTAATTTTATACTCTCTAACTTGATGTTTTTCGAAAACAGGTAGTACATTAGTTGGGTTGGGAAATCAGTTTAGTGAATCAAGCAGCATGGAAAAAATGTAAACAGAGTAGTATAGTAGAATGAACTCCCATGTCCCAGTAATCACCTTCAGTAATTGCCAATTCATACCCAGTCTTAAGTTTATCTATATTCCTGCCCACTTTCCTCTCAAATCATATACTTCTTATACTCCATTTGTAAATTTTTCAGCATGTTAAAAGCGTTTAAAAAATGACGAAATAGAATTTGTTATTGAATATGTATGTACTGGGTCACGAGAGAAAATGAAAGCCACTGATTTTTTCAACATCTCTTTTCAAATAAGAAATGTAGGTAGATCCTAATGTTATGTATCCAGGTTAGTAATATAAAAGATTATTTTATGGAGGGGAAGGTGTGTCTTTGCAGAAAGACCCCACCTATTTTTCTTCCCCACCCCAATAAGTATATATAGAATGTGTTCAGCTGCCCAAGACCTAAGGGCTTAGTTTCAGCTTCTGCTTCCTCTGGAGTCCCAACTTGAGAAGACTGAGTTGTTCTGTGGAAAGGAAAAGGGATGAGGAAAAGTAGCTAATACTGAGGAGCTTCCCTGAGCCTGGCACCAAGGCTTTTAATATACATTCCCCTATTTAATCCTCACAACACTTTTAACAGAAAGAAAAGTTTATAGAGAGATGGAAATGACTTAGCAAAGACACCCCCACCACCCAACCCCCACCTAGTAGAGACCAAGCCAGGTTCCAGCCCAGGTGCCTCAGCTCTGAGACCTTCCACTCCCAGCCTGCCTCTTGTATGTCTGGTCTTAAAGGCAGCCCTTTGGGCCTAAGTGGCAACAGAGATCAAACACAGTAAACCTGGGCTCTAAGCAAGAACTGATGTTCTCAAAGAAAACGCTGATTCATCTCAGCTTCCTGAGAAGGTTCCTAGCCTTGTAGAAAGAACCCAGATCTCAGAGTATTATGAACAGGCATCTAAATTCTGGCCTTCCTATCTGCTCTGTGACTGTGGGTACGTCTCTTAACCTCTCAGATAACGGTTACTTCATAGGGTTGTTGTGAAGATTAAAGATGATGGATATAAAGTCTTCATTCCTGTGACATGGCAGATATTCACTAAGTCAGGGCTGTCGTGTCTGTGTTTGAGAAGACAGAAAAGGTAATACTACATTTTAGGAAAGTGTGTAACCATGGTTAAAGAGAATATACATACGTCAGTCATCTTAAAAGTTTGATACAGAACACTTCATTCCTCACTGATTCTGAATAAAACTCACATAGGAGGTGCACATGACACACACATGTTCAGCACTATTGTGTTTTGTTTGAATTCACTCATCTAGCCCTCGCAACAACCCTTGTGGGTGCTTTTCTTTTCCGCATTTTACATAACTCCCGTTTCAGATGAGAACATTGAAGCAGAGAGAGGTTAAGTAACTTGCCTGAAGTCACATACAGCTATCAGGTGGTGAAGCCCAGATTCTAACTCAGGAGTCTGGCTTCAGAGCAAGGGAAGGAATAAAACCCGCTCTACCGTGGGGTTGTTATGAGATTCAAAATAAGATAAGCTTTGGGAAAATGATTCGTAAATGCCATGTGCATTCTAAGACGGGCTGGCAGGCAGACGGGCTGGGGTTAAGATACAGACTCGAGGGTGACTGCTTGGGTTAAGTCTTCACTCTGCCACTTAATTGGCCTTTGTGAGCTTGAGTAAATTACTTAATCCTCTGCCTCATTTTCTCAACTATAAAAATTGGAATTGTAAAAGGAAATACCTAATAAGATTGTTCTGAGGATGAAATGAGCTGGTATATCTGAAAAGTTTAGAATAATGCCTAACATAGCTCTAGACAAACAATGGTGATGACGATGAAGATGATGAAGGAAAAAGTGAACAGGAAGAACAGGAAACAAACCTTGAAGTTTAAGAAACCTGGGATTGAGGGCGCCTGGGTGGCTCAGTTGGTTAAGCAACTGCCTTCGGCTCAGGTCATGATCCTGGAGTCCCGGGATCGAGTCCCACAAGGGGCTCCCTGCTCGGCAGGGAGTCTGCTTCTCCCTCTGACCCTCCTCCCTCTCATGCTCTCTGTCTCTCATTCTCTCTGTCTCAAATAAATAAATAAAATCTTAAAAAAAAAAAAGAAACCTGGGATTGAATCCCAGCTCCTGACTTTATCTTAGGAACATTTCTTAACTTCAGACTCAAATATTCTCACAAGAGTTGTTGTCCCAGTTAGAGTGTCTGTAAAGGTAAGTATGTAAAGTGCCTGTCACAAAGTGGAAACTATAAATATGAGTTCCTTCTTTGTGTACTCTGCTCTGAGCACCTACTAGTGTAGCAGTGGTGCCAGGCTCCATGGAAGACACCGATGTGAGACATTCTCTGTATTTTCAGATAGAAATCTGAAGATGAGACTGGTCATTGATAACTAAGGATTAAAAAGTATGTAGTGCTAAACGCTGTGAAGAAGGCAGAAATGTAATCTCCGAAAAGGAGAGATTCCTCCACTGGGGAGATATAGGAGGGCTTCTTGGAGGAAGTATTAGCTGTGGGCTCAGAGGCTGGGTGGGACTTTAATTCCAAATGGGATTTGACTGGACTCTGGGCCTATAGGAGGCCAGGCTTCTGAGGCCCTGTGATATTCATGCCTGTGAGCCCAGGAAGAAGTTGGCTATCCGTAATGCCAATGCTGCCAAGCTGGATAAGGCTCTGAGGGCTGAGGGATTTGGGCCCCTAGGTGCACGTAACTGGAATTTCCAGATCTGGAGGCTCTAGCATTGTGGTCAGATAGGCAGCATTTTTGGCCCTGGTTGATCTGCCAAGACCATGACATGAGTTCTCAGAGAAAGGGGGAAAGGTCATATTTTCTCTGCTGCCTACCAAGGAGAATTGAGAGAAACTGCCCAGATAATCCTTGAGGCTTCTGCACCCTGCTTTGCCCAGGCCTCCCACTCCATCCCCAGCCCACCTGCAGACCTCAGGTGGGATTAGGGGAAAGTGCCAGATGGGGCAGACTTGGGTGTAAAGACCTAGCTCCACAGCTTAGTCTCAAGAGAATTCAGTTTTCCCCTCGGAGCCCCAGTTTCATCAACTGTAAAATGGGAGTAAATACTTAATAGGATGAAATTAAATGAGAATTTGTTTCAAACACCTGGCTTAGGGCTTGGCACATTAGAGTATGGCTCAGACTTGTCAGAATCAGTCACCATTAGTTGACACACGATTTGTGTTGCACAAGTGCCTACAATACAGACCCAGCCCAAAAGGAGACAGAAATGGTCCCCTCAACCCCCATCCTCTCACTGAGAAAAGTCTCCAGGGACCCCTGAATCCATCTCACACTGGACCTGGAGTGATCCTCCTCAAGGCGCTCCCTGCTCCTAGTCCTTAGTTGAGCTCCTATGGAAGCCTCCTGTCCCAGTGCCTTGCCTGTCAGCAGCCTCTACTCCCAGGCCAGACAGCTCCTTCCTACCTCGCTGCTCCCCTACCTGCCCCCCAGCCGCTCCTGCAGGCCCAAGCCCCAGACTCCATCCATGTGCGGCCCTGGCAAGGCAGGGTTGTGTACTTAAGCAGAAGAGAAAGGCGTTGCTGACACCATCGCCCCTCGGCTCACTGGACCAGACTGGGACTGGAGAGGCTCGGGGCAGGTCCTGGTGCTGCCACTGGCCTTCCGTGTGGTCTTCGGACAAATCCCTGGGCGTCCTGGGCCTCAGCTTCTCCTCGTGACTAGTGATGGGTCTCGACGGCTCTGGACGGAAATGGGTTTGCCCTGGGACCCCAGGTCCGCTCCGGGGACACCGACGTCCCTGGCAGGCAGGGAGGTGCTCGGC